TAGCCAGTTTAGATATTTCATGTGTTTTAATATTTCATGAAGCCCTTGATTAGTTGCATCAGGTGTGCTTGAGACAACATCTGTTTTGCAGAATTGTGCCGTCGGGAATCTATTCCGGGGGGTTGAATAATTTTGAGACTGCAGAAGTCATTAAAAGTTGAATTTGGGGAAATGACTTAACATTTTTGTCAAGCTATTTCAATTATTTTTATTTGATTTGTTAATTGCAAACAGCTGAACGTTTGTACATTTTGCCAATAAACCGGATTTGCAAACTGTACATTTTGCAGATGTTTTTGTCTTTACTCAAACAACTGACGTAACCTGATGATTGTAATCCAGGCTGGTTTGGCATGACTGAAACTCAGGGCTGGTAACAAAGATTTCTGGCTGTTTGCATTGCAAAAATGTGCAGTATGCAACAGAGAATACTGAACGTATTATGCAATAGTACTGAATCTGTCAGTGCAATACACAATGCACAACTATACTATACCTTTTATTTTCAGTATGATAAATAAATTCTATGTAAAATTAGCTACATTCTTTTTTGAATGATTATTTGATCGGACAGCCAAAAGGCTAGAAATTCTACACAAATCTGTTTAAAAAAAGGCATATTTATTTCTGAGACAATAACTGGAGTCCTCTAACATTGAATGTTTAATTAAGTGGGTGGTGTCTAGTAATCGTCTTGGAAATTAAAATATTCATTGGCATTTTCAATTCAATGCATCTTAATGATGGAGCAATGGTAATATAAGTAGTACACAGTTTTGAATATTGTTACCATCATAAGATGTAAAGTCTAATTATTAATCTCAAATCAGTTCAATGTTAATTCAGGTTCGGTCAATAATAGCGCAAAGTTAATAACATTTTTAAACAAGCTATATCAAAGACTTGAATTAGCTATACACCGTCTACTTAACAGTATGCAGTAAAGCTAGTATTCCATTTTGAGAACAGACAATTTCCTCCTATGGCAAGCCTTTTAACATTGAACATCCTTAAAATGTACTGGTATCTATTTTCATGTTTCTAGTGCTTGTTTTTAGCAACTATTCCATTAGTTACTAGAACCTGTATCTTTAAGAAGGTATAAGGTATATCTTTTAAATAAGTATTTATTACCAGTTCGTAGTTAGCAGATACCAGTACCCATTAAATGGATATTAGTACACGTTCATTAGATTCTAGTACTTGTTCATTAGAAACTAGCACTTATTCATTAGATACTACTGGTACTTATTTTAATAGTGACTATCAACTGTTGTATTGTTACTACTAACATTTATACTTTTCCCTTTGACTTATATGGCGATCTGTCATTCAGATATCAAACAATCGGTTCTGTATTCCATTTGTGACTGTATTTATTATATAGTAGTTATTTCATTAGGTACTTATACAAGGGGAGCTCAGAGGGTTTGGTTAAGCACTAGTAGAAATGGTGGTCTGAGTTTCAGAGAAACTGGAGCGTGAGAGAGTGTCCCAGCTGAAGGGGTTTATTTTGGATTATGTCTGCATGTTTGAGGTATTAAACGCATTTGCCCTTATGGTTTTGCAATAAAAATCTACAATAATAATAAAAAAAACATATTTCACATTAAACAAAAGGAAGCTGGAGCGCTGCTGGTGTCCCTTGTATCCTCTGGTGCTCTTGGAAGGGTTGAAAGTTCATAAAAATTGGAAAGAAATCCAAGTCCAGGCACTCAGGGTTACAAAAGTGAAAAAGGCCTTTATTAAACAATCGAGGGCTAAACCATTAAAAAACACCAACGCGTATCGGCCCACTGGCCTTCATCGGGGTGTTGGTCTTCAACAGTAAACTATATTTCTCTATCCATTTACGCTTCTTTCCATATGGTGGTGTGACTCCTCTTCTGTCTGGCGTTAAAGGGATAGTTCACTTTGAAATTAAATTTTGATATGTTTTAGCTTACCTCAAGGGCATCCAAGATGTAGGTGTCTTTGTTTCCACAGTATTTTCAATTTTGACATTTTTCGGTCAAACCGGTGTTGTCTGTCAGTCATATAATGCAGGTTTAGGCGGTCCACCTCAAAGAGCATGCACAGAGAAGTCAAAATTAAACTTGATTTAATGACTCGTGAATGTAAGTACACGTTGATGGCCTAAGACACGAAACGAGCGGTTTGTGTGAGAAAATGAACAGTATTTATATCGTTTTTACCTCTTGTTAACACCCATGTCGAACTTATCTGAATCAGATGTCCAACTGAACCGAACTGAACTGTGTCCAATGTATGCCGGAAGTGATCTCTCGCGTCACGCAATGTTTACACAGAGATTTCGGAAGTTTTACCTTTCACTAAACATATTTAGATATATGGGAAATCGCAATGGAAGACGATTTCGATATATCTAAATATGTTTAGTGAAAGGTAAATAGAAAGGCGTGTCAGCACACACCACGGCTGCAACTACAGTATGGTCTCCCCAGTGGACCAGCACCACAACCGTCTGGATTGAGCCGAGTAGGGGACATCTCTGGGGTCTTCAAGTGGGCACCTTCCATCCTCAGTGTTTCGTCGACTAGCCCACGACACCTTAAGAGGGCTCGACAGTGACTCTGACCTCTACATCCCTCCTGCTGCTGAGGTTGCTCCTTCCTTGAAGTTAACATGTGACCTAACTACAATCTCTGCAACCCAACCATTCGCGCCAACCCGTTTGACTATTGCTGTCGAGCCCCACTGTTGCGTTAAAGCAGTTTCAGTGGCAACGGTTCCGTATGGCACCTACCGCAAAACACAATATCATAATTACTATGCAACCTATACAAATAAACCAACAGACTCTTCAAGTTTTTCAAGAATTCTACGAAACCCTATCGTGGCGGCCTGTACACGGTCAGGTAAAATATTTCCGTCTCAACCACAGCCAGCCTTTACTGTGCGATGCAACTCTTGGCCACTGAATCCGACGTCTCTGAGGAACCGGGTTGTAGAGTGTGCCACAAATCCACTAGATAAACCTAGACTCTCCATCCTCGCTGTTCTGCTTCAGTGGCCACTGGCCAGATGAGCATACCACAGTTTCTTCCTCTCATATGCCTCATCTACCGCATCCTCCCATGGCACTGTTAACTCTATCAGTTGAACAATGCGTGCTGATCCAGACCACAATACAATATCTGGTCGTAGGTTAGTGGTGGCAATCTCAGGTGGAAAAATAAGCCGTTGATCAAGATCAGCCAGCAGCTTCCAGTTGTCCTGGGCGAGAAATGGTGTTAACACCTTTTCTTGGTGGTTGCTAGCTTGGGCGGAGGAATATTGTCTTCTGCCTGTAATGTTTTGCTAGAACAGGCGGCATGTAAAACTGCATCTTGGTAAGATATATTTAAACAGGTTGTGAGTCCTGTTTTTTTAGGCAGTTGAATATAACTTTTAAAGCTATTCAGCACAAATGTTACTGCTGGTAGACTATGGAAGCTGTCACAGTTGCTAGGTGACAAGAACAGTCCCCCTTTGACTAGACATCCCATTCAAAAACACTCAGTTCAACCTTTCTTTTGAAGTCGTGGCCTCGGAAGAATGCAGCCTTTGAATAGGGACACAGCCATTGACTGCCCCCTGATACTTGTTCAGGCATGTCTTGACTTGTCTAAAGTGTCAATGAAGTAATACACATAAAGAAACCTCCAGGTGGCGTTTTTTTTTTGGCTTCTTTACAGTATTAGTTCTTGTTGTGCCTCTTAAATAGATGCAGGTATTTATTCATAAGATACTAGTTCTTATTTGTTATATACTAATACTTATCCATTTGATACTCAAACATATTAAATGTATGCTAGTACTTACAAATAGCTAAAAAAAGAAGTACTAGTAACATGGAAATAGAAACCAGTATGTTTACCCCTTAAAGGATGATGAACTGAGAAATCAAATTTTCCTTGAGCTTTTGACATCTAAGTCATCATATTATAAGAAATTTTGTAAGTTTCAGAACTGAAAACGTCCTTATGGGTCCAATAAAAGCTTTTATAGACACCAGGCCCAGCAAACGACTCGTTTTTAAAAGTGGGGAACTATGACGACAAAGAGGATAAAACACCACCCCCGCAGAAGAAGATCAACTCCTACTTCAACACGGCCGGTTTAGCCCCGCTCACCAATTCCTGCACTACACACAATCACCATGGCAATCACGCATAGCTAAATAGCATAGGCCTACCTCGTGATGACAAACCGGATCGAGGAACCGAGCAATACAGAATATTGTGCAGTGCCTGGTTGTGGAAGACAGTCGCTGCATAAGCTTCCTTTGGATTCCAATAGGACTGCATGGATAAACTTTATTTTTAATGACGTTCCAGCTGATGAGGTAAAACATGATCGTCTGTTCGCTTCATTTCACTGAGGATTGTCTTGTAAACAAGACTGGATTTGCAGACCGATTAACAGTAAAGAACGGTGCTGTGCCGGACAGACAGGAATTGTGCAACACAACACACGGACTCGAATCATTCTAGTTGCCATTTTACAACATTGGACGCTCCAAGTTCTTTGACAGGTGAGTTAAACTCATTATAATATGCAAAACTGTTATCCACTCACAGCAGTGGGCATTTACTTCCAAGTCTTCAGTGTGAGACGCCCATAAAAATCCAGCGTTTTTCAGCTAGGCTCAAAACTAGGGTAAAAAATAGCCTATTACTTGTTCATTTTGATGTTTTTGAATGCAAAAACCAAGCGAACGTCATAAGTTGACCTCAGACAACAATATAATATACAATTTAAAAAGCCAGTTCATGACCCCTTTAAGCTTTAAATTCTAAAACGGATTGCCATTCATTTGATACACGTAACTATTAAATCCATGCTAGTACTTATTAGATACTAGTAGGCCAAGCTAAAAAAAAAGTATTAGTAACATGATAATAGACGCCAGAACATTAAGGTTTGAATCTTAAAACGGCTTGCCATGTTTCCCTGCAGCGTACACAATCCTCCTGTCCAACAGATGGCGCTAATGACACGTCTGCCTGTATCACTGTGTCTGTGAAGGAAGGAAGACTGGCAGCTTAGAAAATAAACAAAAGACGAGCTCAGATTAATAAATGTTTTTGAGGTTAACCGTAATCTTTTAACCACGTTTGTGCAGTCTTTAGGTTGAACTATCAGCAAGGGCTGACGGACTGGCCATGAATTTAGACCTATCGCTGCGAGTGAGCGTCTTCTCCGAACAAGGAGGAAGGAAATACATGGAGGATTTAACTGAGGTGATCGTGGAGCTGGAACCCAGCGACGATGAGCTGCGAGAGGCCGGGCACATTGATCCAAAGCCGGACCAAGAGCCCGTCTCTGAAAGCGACCCACCGGACTGCACAAACAAGCCTTTACCAGTCATAGTAACGTGGAGAAACACCCTGTCGGCCGACGAGATCGACGGGACAGAGGAGCCCGGGACTCAACCGGCGGCAGCGGACAGCAGGAGATCGGTCGCGTTCTTCGCCGTGTTTGACGGCCACGGAGGGCGAGAAGCCGCGCTGTTCGCTCGAGATCACCTCTGGGATTTTCTCAAGAAGCAGCGGGGCTTTTGGTCTAAGGATTACCGGAAAGTTTGTGCCGCAATTCGCAAGGGCTTCGTCGCATGTCATCATGCAATGTGGAAAAAGCTTCGTAAGTAACGTTACATTCATGATGACTATTTCCCATGACATTTCCTGACGATAGATTTTTTTCAATTGCTTTTTTTATGTCTAACTTTGACTTCGTTGTGAGCAGGTTCGATAATAAGGTTATTACGATCAGTGTAATTTAAGACCTCCAGACAAATTTAACGAATGAAATCACTTACGTGTTCAAATTATTCTTAGACAGATGAATATAAATTCTGGGGCTGCGATTGATCTGTCACCAATTAATTATACACTTTTTGAAATTGGGCGCCACGCTATACACTCGACTGCAGAAAACAGGAAAAAAAAAAATCAAATGAACGGATGGGTCTCATAGTGCGCACCTGCGCATGCGCGGAAATTAACAGACTGTAAGAAATGCAGGTCTGTCTAAAAACTGTTGCAGACCTAGTTTACAACTTTACACACTGAGAGAGATGAAGCAAATTCATTATACCACGGAAGCCGTTTCCGCAGTAAGGGTAAAATCTTTCCGTGGCAGGGACAGCTGCCACCGAGACCTGTCACTCCAACCGTCACCGCTAGTGGCAGGTCGAGTAAAATATCATTATGTTGGCATAATAAATATTAACTGTCTCATTATTATTTAGTGTCTCATTATAGTGAGCATGTTACTCATAATGACTTCCTATTATTATATTAAATTTAAAAACTGTCCCATAACTGTGTACTTAGTATGTCATAATAATGAGAAATGCTCTCAATAAAGTTAATGTTATAATATTTATTTAGAAGAAAAATCTAATTTAAAGAATTAATATTAACATCTTATAATGAGAAGAGAACCTTTCTTTTTAAAATGGCTTAATATCGTGTATTACCTCGTAATAAGAAATATTCTAAGAACGACTTAACGACCGTACTGATATTTTTTTACTAATGATGAGGTTTCTTGTAAAAAAGGGTTCTCGTAATGAGTTTCTTGTAATAATGACTTTGTATCTCATAATAATAAGAATCTTTCTCATAAATAATAATGATTATAAGAAGCTTTCTCGTAATAATGACTTAGATTCACATTATTATGAAATATTTTCTCAAAACAATGACTTGGGCTAGCGTCTCATTATAATGAGAAACTCTTATAATAATGATGACTTTAAAATGTAGAAATATCTACCTTGCAAAAAAAAGGGGAAAAGTCTCGCACAGCACACCACTCGAACTTTAATAATTTAGGCACTTTTGTTTATAAATGTATCCTAATGTGCGCATGTGCAAAGCCATAGAACAGGTGCGCGTGATGGCAGGCTAGCGACATCTGTTGGGCAAAGCCGTCTAAATGCAAGAACACGACAAACATGCACGGTTTTTTTTTAAACTGTTATTTTCATTCATGTGTAATCTATAATATAGTTAAATAACAATGAAGATAAAACTATTATGAGATGTTAATTCATTATTATTTAAAAAGTATCTCATTATGACTTACAGAACTGGATTTTATTCATCTGTGGAGAATTGGCCTTGTAATCAATGTATTGATGCAGTTGTTTAACCCTGTGTCTGTTCTTCAGCGGAATGGCCAAAAACATTAACTGGCCTCCCCAGTACTTCAGGCACTACAGCCAGTGTGGTGGTCATCAGAGGGGACCGCATGTTTGTGGCTCATGTCGGGGACTCGTCCGTCGTGCTGGGTGTGAGGGAAGATCCCTCTGATAAAGTCATCAAAGCTGTGGAGGTCACGCAAGACCACAAGCCTGAGCTCCCGAAAGAGAAGCAGAGAATTGAGGAACTGGGAGGAAGGTGAGATAGATTTTTAATATTTTTTTAGTCATCATAAGTATCAATCTCTTGGATTTATGCTGTCATTTCCTCTTATTTTGTGTGAGTGTAGTGTGGTGAAGAAGTCTGGCGTGAACCGTGTGGTTTGGAAGAGGCCTAGTCTAACTCACAACGGCCCGGTCAGAAGGAGCACCCCGATCGATCAGATCCCCTTCCTCGCTGTTGCTAGAGCTCTGGGTAAATGCTTAATATTTAATAGATCAGAATGAGATTGTAATATGTGGTTTGTACTGACTTCAAAAGACACTGCTTTAAATGGTGTTTAGAAGGATTGTGCAAATCCATTACAGTCAAATTCAGTGCCTATTCACTATTCATAATCAGGGACACAGTAGTTCACCCAAAAATGAAAATTCATTCATCAGTTCTGGCAGCATCACCCACATGTTGTTCAACCACATACGACTTAAGACATAAAACCACAAAATGAAGATGTTTATTATGAAACCTGAGAGATTTGTCTCTCATTTCCCCAAAACATTCACACTTCAAATGATTCGAGTGGTTTAAATCCAAGTCTTCTGAAGAGACACGATCTCTTTAAATGATGTACTGATTTTATTCACACACCATAAAAACATAATTAATATAGAAACATTTTTCACAATTGCCAGTAAATGAACAATTACAGGGAAACAGCATTGAAATAACATGAAATTTTGGAGTTAACCCCTTAACGCCTGAATTTATATAGCTGTATATAAAAAAATGTTTTATGTGTTTTATTTGCCTTTAAGTAGATGGTAAATAATGTTGAGATTATCAATTTCACTTTTGCACAACAAATAAATCGAAATTTTGTTATGTTGCAAATTTGCAACAGCGGGCATAATGGTCAATTTGGGGTCAATTTGGTATGTTGAAAATCTCCAACAGCAGGCATTGGTCAATTTGGGGTCAATTTGGTATGTTGCAAATCTGCAACAGCGGGCATAATGGTCAATTTGGTATGTTGCAAATGTTCCTGACCGTGCGTAAACAGGAAATACGTCCGTCACTTTGCGGTCCCACTAGAAACAAGTGCTTGTCGAAGGTCCGTAGCGAATATGCACTAACCGGCATTGGGGGAATGCAGACGTTATCTCGGCTGGTTGACTGAGTCAAACGGTTTGTTGCATATTTGCGACAGTGGGCGTTAAGGGGTTAAAAGACTGAAATTGTATTGTCTTGTAAATCATAGCCTACCCCACTAATCGGTTTTATATACAACTTTAAAAACAACAACAACAAAAAAAACATTTTACAGTGTATAAACTTTGGATGTGCTCAGGATGTTTATGCGTTGTTGAATGTGCTCGTAAACTAATGAACACGGAGAATGCGAGCTGATTTGCTTTGGCTGGTGTTCTCAGCGCCTTCAAAATAAAGGTTCAAAATTCCTACTGGTGACCATGCAACCATGACAATGTGGTGGCTAGTTCCTATAACTCCTAGAACTACCCGGTGCAAAAGCTTCTATACTGGAATGGTAGGCATATGAGGGTGAGTAAATGATGAAAGAATTTTTGTTTTTGAGTGAACCATCACTTTAAACTTAAAACTAAGATGGAATTGACAGACTTGTTTTTCGGGCTGATGGTTTTAGAGATTTCCAGGATATATTTATTGACAAATGCGACCGTATGCAAGTAATGTTGTAAACGTGTTCGTCCAGGTGATCTATGGAGTTATGACTTCTACAGTGGAAAGTTTGTTGTGTCTCCCGAGCCTGACACCAATGTGGTGACCCTTGACCCAAGACGGCATCGTTACATCATCGTTGGCAGTGACGGCCTTTGGAACATGGTGCCGCCGCAGGAGGCGGTTACTGTGTGCCAGAGCCATGATGAAGCTGTGGTACGAAAAAAAAGTTTCTAACCATATGTTTTAATATTCTAACTTCTCTATTTGTGTTCATTTATAAAGGCCGATTCACACCAAGGATGATAACTATAAAAATATAGTTCTAAATCTAAAAGAATAGCAAAGTTCACACTTTAACAATGGCACAGAGAAACAATATAGTTGGAATGACTTTCAGAACAATTTTTCTCCGCTGATGAAAGATAAAAAATATTGACAGCCAATCAGTATCTGTCCTGCTTTAAAGCGCTTGAGCTAATGTAGTTCGCTATCTTTCCAGTTAGCATTCTTGGTGTGAACTGGCCTTAAGAGTGCGTTTTACACCCTACAGGCACCCTTCGGGATGTCGGTTGCACGTCGGTTGGGCCGCCATGCATTGATGCGATGGCGCCAACGGATGCTCCGTGCAGACAATACCAGCGTTATAGTTATCGCCCTTCCTGAGCCTGGCAAACCCCACCTTCCTATGCATAGAGACGAGGTCATTCTCAGCCTAGCAGAGGGCCCGCACTGTGACCCAGCTATAGGGTCCCGCTCCAACACACCACTCATTAAGGTAAAAAAAAAAAAAATTAAGGTCATCACAGCAGCACAAAATGTTTATCAAAATGATATACATTTGTCTAAATTTTATTCAAATGATACTAGGGGTGTACATGGTTAACCGGTTAACCGATTAACCGTTTAAAATTGCATAACCGAGTGAAACCTTTTTGCTCGGTTAAGTGGCGTCAATACATATTTGCACAAAACTTTTGCGGGTTTTTTTTCTGATTGTCGATAAAAAAATATTGTGAAATGACAGCGTTTCTATTAACGGTGTTATGCGACCAAAACATTTTTTTTTTTTCCTTTCGCAATAAGCCATTCCAATGGCAACGGACGTTGGTATATCACAGCCACCGCACTAGACATTATTATTATTTATGGAAGGAGACGTGGTGTGTCATCCAAGCATTAATGGCAGGGAAAGTCGCAGAGTTTCTGTGTGTTTCTCCCTCATTTCTGCTCCGCGGTCTTGATTGTGGCATTTCTTTGAGGTTTTGTCTAGTAGGCTATTCCATGTATCATTTATGAATTTTAAAAAAGAACTCTGCCTCGTATATGTCCAAACGGTCAGTGTACTTTTGTGTTCATTCGTTTCCCCTTATTTAATCCGTAGGCCTAATTGCAAAACGAAAAATGAACGGTTGTTGTATTTTGTAAAACGCAGAGTTGAACACCAAAATGTTCATTTGAACTGTAGGACTACGTGCTGCGCAAAAATATATAGGCTATATATCGACGAATTTTCAGATATTTGTTTGATTTTTTTTTTTTTTTGCCCCTTTAAACATTTAAAATATTTGACAAATGAATATGAAAAAAAAAAAAGATTTTACTGGTTTTCTGAGGCCAAATTAGAACCTGGAAATTATATTTCCCCCGCAGTGCTAAATGAGAAGAGCCGTAACCACAGCTTACAGAAAGGGGATTTATAGATGATTTATAAGATATAATAAATGTGTCTGATAATAAAATAATATAAAATAACGAGGCATTAATTGTTTATTAATAAACTATTGTTTTCTAAATCAGTTTCTGCTAAAAACAAATCTCCATCCCCGGATGCACCTTTAGAGAGAAATACATAATTAGCTAGGCTACATAATTACATAGTCAGAAGATATTGTCTTTCGATTCGAATTTGTTCGTTTTAAATTGGACATTTAAAGTTTTAGTCTACAAGACTAAAGCTTTAAATGTCCAATTTAAAACGAACAAATTAGAATGCGGTGGCTGTTTCAGTTCTCGCGCTCCAGTTCACGGAGATCATGAAACGCGCCTGTTTGTTAAAGCACAACGTTTTTTTATTATAGTGAGTTTACGCAAATAAATGTATTTGCAAATAATGTATTATTATTTTCTGTATGACCAGAAATGAAAGAGTATTTTAAGTTGTTTCCACTGAAAGAACTGCAATGAAACTGCAAGTGTTCACATGGGCGTCTCGCAGCCTCCACACTAAGCACACACACTGGATATGCGTCAAAATATTGTGTTTGTTTGTGCTTTGTTGCTTTTTTGGATAAAAGCGTCGTCTACATATGCAGCCTAATAAAATGTTACAATAATGATGATTATTATTATTATTTGCGGACACGGAGTTTTTTGCGAAATGGACGTGTTGCCATGTGCGTATTTTCAATTGGCAATTTCAGTTTGAAGGGTGATGGAAACGCGCCTACTTTAACTGCTCTGAACTCACCACTGCGTTTTATTTCTATAAATTAATTTCGTTTCAAATGGGGTCCAACCAGTTATTAAAGGTGTTAAAAAAATTAACTCACCTCGAGGTTGCGGCGCGCACATGGTTAACCGAGTATTAACCGATAAGGGCCTCGGTTAACGGTTAATGAAAAACTTGAAAACGTGCAGCCCTAAATGATACAGAACGCAAAAAAAAGGTCTCTTATAATCATTGAAGCCGTCAATCAGCTCAAGCTCACAGTTCTGCACTTGCAAATTCGAATTCATGTTATAATCAAAGAGGCTGTCTATGCATCACAATTAATATCTTGTTTACATTGTTTCTAGTGCTGCAATAAAGGATTATTTTGATAAACGATTCGGACGATTATTATTATTATTATTATTATTTTCCGATTAATCTGATAAATTCAATTAGATTTTTTGGTTTATTATAATTAAATAAATACCCTGATTACCCTAATTTATGGGTTTTATGTGTAAAAGTGTACTTTAAAAAGTGCAAAAGCCACACATTGAGTTTTACTAATATCAATGTTTGTGTTGTTTTTAATTATAAACTATGATCAATGTAAAACATAAGAAAACATTATATCCAATGTTTTGACGGAAAAACATACGGATAGCATCATTTAGTTTCTAGTCTGATAGCTGCAAGACCACACTGAACGGTACTGTTAAAGTGTACCGGCAGTGAAGGTGTAAAATCAATGACTATGTAGAATAATTCAGTCCAGGGTGTTTATTTTGGTGCAAAAATCGTGATTCCCAGCAAAAATATATACAATGAAAAACAAAACAAACTAAGGCAAAAATAAATATATATCTATAAAAATAAATATACAAATCTAGCAGTCTGTATTCCGGCTATGCCAATATCAAGGCCCAAAATACAAGGAGTAATGCCACACTCCAAAAACACACTCCACAAAATGGCTACCAGAAGCCCTTTTATATAGTTAGGCTCCTCCCACTTCTGGAACATCCCATGTAAAAGTAAATGACAATTTCAAAGTAAGATAAAACTATACAAATACTTCAAACAAATGATATTAATACACAATCTAAGCATCACATTAGTAATTACAAAGTGTTGCTTACACATTGAGAAGAAAAATGCCAGAGACATGATAGTTTCCCAGATTTCCCCCTGTGATGTCACTGACAATGGAATTTCCCTTCCTACTGGGCAGATGACGACTTTAAAATGGCAGCCATGGCTGCACATGGGTTTGAGAAGTGAGAAGTGACCCACCATGCGAGTACAATGGTGTTTTATGTGTATGTTAGTTAGTTATAATAAACTGTTAACATTTGTAAGAATTTGGTGTGGTTTCTTTGAATGTTAAATCATACAACAAAACAAGAGAAAACATTAAGCATTGTAACAAAACAACCCACAAAAGAAAAGAAAATTATTTAAACAAAACTGTAGGACAAAGCAGAGGTTATTACACCAACTAAACAGAGAAATAACCACACATCAATATATATATATATATGATGTTATTTTGCCGGCATCTGGATTGTGTGTGGTTGTATAATGAATGATGTAAACTGTTAATTGGTGTACATGTACTTCAGCAGTCCTTTCAAAATAAAAGTCATAAGTCACAGGCTATCTGTGACAGGTACATTTTTCGTCTTCAAACCAAACTTGGTTCTCCAATCGACAAAGTTTAAATCCTGTCTTGCTAGTGCGCTTCCCATTATGTTTACACAATAGGTCAGTAGGCGGAGAGTAGACGGTATTTTGCTGCTTTTCAAACACGTTCAATCACATGAGTATTTACACTATGAAAGCAATCCGGTCGAATGGGGTTTTGACTTCCTCTGGAAGTGGTTGAAAGTAGACAAGCTCAACATTTAAGACCCCGTACATGACACTAACATAATACCAGGTGTAAACAGGGCCTGTGATTGGCTGTAATGCTCAATGCTAAAAAATAAATCAATTTTTGATGCTTTTTAACAGTGGGCACTAGTCAATACCTGTATCTTGAGTCTGGGATTGTCACATTCGAACAATTCCGGTATCGACTTGGTACCAAAGTACCAGTGCTTTTCACAACACTTGTCTGCAACTTCAAGCAGACAAAAACAGGAGTTCATGATACCCTTGAACTTTAAGAGATTTCTGTACACTGTCCAGACTCACAGCTAATCAGAATTTTTCAGATAAGACTTTTTACAGAGTTCCTGCTCATGTTAGCCACACTTTGGCTCCATGCCCACCAAAAGAGAGACTAACACACTGCTCATCAGTCCTGCCTACTTTTCCCGATCGAGGCCTCCATTGTCAGAGCAGTTCCGATGGAAGCCATGTCTCCGTGTTTGTTTGGCCCCAGTGTGTTTGAAGCACAGCTCCTCCAGCTGCTCTTGGCTGTTTTGCTTTGGCTCGGAGAGCTGGAGAGTGGACAGATGTTTGTGTTTTTAATCCTTTTAAGTGGAGTGGATTAGAGGTTTAGGGAGGCCGCTTTGATCATTTTTCCTGTTTGCTCTTCTGGTGCTGTTATGATTTTGATAGAGGGGAAATGAAAAATACAGAACAGGGCAAGAGAATGCAAAAGAGCAGCCGTGATGCGTTTCCCCTGTTGTATTGCAGTGATGAAGACCAGACTTTACACTCATTTTATTCGCATTTTGTCTTTAAGAGTTGTTCCATTTGCTTGCAGTTTGAATCTTTTCAATTTCTGGTACATTCCTTTGGAATATTTTTTAAAACTTTTTTTTTTTTTTACTTTTTAATATTTCTTTTAGGGATTTACAGATATTAAAATTCTGGCCAACACGGATAAACTGATCATTATTGTCATGGTATGACTGATATTAAAATTCGGTACTATTTTGTCTAGATAAATTGAACACCAAATGGTTTCAAATGCTACACGATTTCTATGCATTAAAACATGACGTACCATATGGAAAATTAGTATTAATTAAGACTTAATACTTTAAATTTGCCATAATCTAATGCTTAAAGTTAACGTTAATCTTTAATACAATGATAAATATTACATTTAACAATGTTTAATGCAAAAAAGGGCAAATGAGCATGCATAAGCTCATTAGCATAACGTTGGTTAAAATTTCCGACGTTAGGAGAATAAAGTTAACATGCCATTTTCATTTGATATGGTATAACAATAATATCTATAGCAAGAACTCTTTTTAGTCACTGAACCTTTCCTCCTGATTCTTTTCTTTTTTTGCCTTTTGTTTTGTTCTTTTTTCGCCTTTTGTTTTTTAACAATGTTTAATGCAAAAAAGGGCAAATGAGCATGCACAAGCTCATTAGCATAACGTTAGATAAAATTTCTGACGTTAGGAGAATAAAGCTAACATGCCATTTTAATGTGATTGAAATGTGTATATCTATAGCAATAATTCTTTTTAGTCACTGAACTTTTCCTCCTGATTCTTTTCTTTTTTCGCCTTTTGTTTTCCCTGTAACAGTATGAAAATACTGTATAGAACATACACTCCACATTTGTGGTCTGTTTTCCTGATATAATTTGCTAGATCCCATAAATAATTTACTGGAATGCACTAAGCTCTCGTTTTTCTCCCCAAATCCTCACGTCTCTTTCCAGGTTTGTTTTCACACAGACGCTTTACAATGTACTCGTCTACCCTTTTCGCTACTGATCATATTAGCAGTGTTTACTGGAATGAGCAGTTTTGATTAAGGCAATGTATGTTACATAGAGTTACATACATCGAAATTATTCAACCCCCATTGCAAATCAGGTTTATTTGCAAAATGTACAGACTTTCAGCTGTTTGCAAAGACCAAATCTAACAAAAGTAATTGAAACAACACAACAGATGTTTCAAGTGTTTTACCCAAATTCAACTGAAATTGCAAATTTTAATGACTTCTGCAGTCTCAAAATTATTCGATCCCTTCATGGCAATTATCTTTAGTACTTAGTAGAACACCCTTTTGCTGTTATGAACTGCTGCAAACAAGTTGTATAACCAGACACCAGCAGACTTTTTAAATATTTGTAATAATAAGAAATGTTTCTTGAGCACCAAATGGATCATGTGACAGTGAAGACTGGAGTAATGATGCTGAAAATTCAACTTTTTCATCACAGGAAAACATTACAATAAATTAGAAAAATGTAATAATAGTTCTCAAAATTTTAGTTCTCCTAATTTGATTTATTCTCTAATTGAATGCTGTGTTTTTATGACAGATAAATGCTGCTCTGTTTTTGTTTCTTTTCAGTTTTTAAAAATACATTTAAAAAATCTGTTATATTAAGATAAAAATAATCCTCATAAATAGATTAATTGTACTTTATTAATGTTTGTTGTATGAATTTCTTTTTCTGCTGAACACTAAAGAAGATCATTTGAAGAATATCGGTTACCAAACTTGTATAATTTGGGGGAAAAAAAAATATACACACACACACACATATATATATATATATATATATATATATATATATATGTATATATGGAGGTCCATGAACTGCTGGGTTACCAACATTCTTCAAAATATCTTTTGTGTGTGTGTTCAGCAGAAGAAATACATTCATACAGGCTTGGAACAACTTGAGGGTGCGTAAATGATAGAATTTTCATTTTTGGGTGAACTAACCTCTTAACTTGGTATGGAGCTGTCAACTTTCTCAAAAGGGCTTTGCCTACTTTTACTACTAGCTTGGCAAAAGTAGCCTTAAAGGTGCTCTATGCATTATTTAACGGCCTCTAGCGGTGATGTTTCAGAATGCAACAAGAGCGCTCGTGCTTGTGTGCGTACTCAATCTCAAGAGCGAGCGAGCATTCACTACCGGCCACACGGAGACTTTCAACGCAACGGTGAAAGCATCACACAACATGCTGGAAACTAATGTAAACATTTAGCCGACATGTGATGTTATATAGCATAAGCCATTTCCAGTGGTGGAATGTAACGAAGTACATATACTTTGTTACTTTACTTAAGTACATTTTTCACGTATCTTTACTTTACTTAAGTAGAATAAATAGTGCATACTTTTTACTTTTACTTCGTTACATTTTGCAGCAATTATTATACTTTCTACTCCACTACATTTCTACAACTTCTGTTACATTTTCATTACATTTTCTGATCAGTTTTCCCCTGCCAAAACGTAATCTGACCGTCCGTTCGTTGCTCGTTTGTCTCACCAGTGACGTTTGGTTGCCATAGATACATCAACTAAATGTGTCTCGCACGCAGTGTGTTTATCGTGCAATTTATACTCAAAAAATGTATTTTTACGTGTATAAGAAACACACCGTGTGTAATACGTTTGGTTAGGATTATGGCAAGCCAAGAGGTTCAGAATAACACCATAAATTTATCGCGTCTACTGCCAAACATAGTTGTTAACATGTATATACTATATATATATATATACTATATATAGTAAGGATAAGCATGGTTTATATTGCCTAAATGCAAGCTTGTTTCATAATCATTGAACATCATTATAGGAGTATTAGGTTGAATGAGTTAGAATTAAATGTTTTATTAATCATTAGAAAATAGTCATTAAGAGAATTAATTGTTATGCAAGTACTTTTACTTTTAATACTTAAAGTACATTTAAAATCAGGTACTTTTTACTTTTTACTTAAGTATGGTTGTCATTGTGTTACTTATCTGGTTATTTGTACTTTTACTTAAGTACTGAGATTCTTATAATTCTTAAAGATTACTTAAGTACTGAGATTCTTAAATAATATTTATCTGGTTATTTGTACTTTTACTTAAGTACTGAGATTCAGTACTTCCTCCACCACTGGCCATTTCACTAACTATTCGTGTATCTTTCACAATCAGCAATGTCAACATCGGTGAATGTATAATATGATAACGGTGTAACAGTAAGATCGTATTAAGTAACATTACTGTACTAAAGTGTCTGGAAATGTGTATAAACAATATGGTAGTAGTGGGATGAGTGACGTTAGTCATTAGATCTAGTAAATAAAATAAGTTACATCCTAAAGCACCGACTTTTTGTTATCCTGGAACATTCTTTTGTATTCATGTCATGTTTCATGTAGTTAACCTTGCTATTTTACTAGAGTTTACTATGTTGATCCTCGTTTTCATCCGTAGTCGATCAGATTCACGTTTTGCCTGACGAGCTTGAGCAGATAAAACTTTTTTTGTTTTTTATGTTTATGTGGAGTTTGTGTTGGAGTCTGTGTTGTGCTGGATGCAGGACGTTTTGGGGGGGTTATCAGACTCCATGTCGTCAGTGCCGTTGGTCGCATGATAGACTGTAGGATAGAGTAGGGCTGTCGCGGTAACCGCCAATATTGTAGTACCGCCCTTCTGACAAGTCAACCGCAGAGGATTGCACGTAACCGCAGCAACCGCGATATTCACGTTTTTTTTTTTAAAAGGCTATACCCTTCTTGTTTTGAACTTAATGCATGTGTATTGAATGTTAAACAAGTTCATAATGATAACAAGACTGTTTATCATGGTGATGTGTAGCCTACAGGCTTCACACAGACAGTGAATGAGAGAGATTGGCAGAGCGCGTGCAATTACCTGCGTCTGTCTTTGAAGTCGTGAAAAGCTTGTCGTGTCAAAGGGAATCGAAATATTTGTCGCATCATCATTTTAACGTTCTCTTCACGGGTATTTTCCCATAAATAAACATCAGCGCTGGTCAGCATCCCACAGCACAAGGAAGCCGTGGGGTCACGCATTGAATCAATGCTATATTGGTCTCTAATAAGTTAAGCATCAGTGTTGTCCATGCGACGCTTTGCTGCTCAGCTGAGCCTTGAAAAGTTGAACCTCAAAGTTAAAAATAATTAACATCTTGTTTCTTTACATCTCTTTTAATGAATCAGCTTTTTTAAACGTGTTCGTTGAATGAACGGTTCAATGACTCGCTCAAAGTCCGTTGTCATAACAAAATGCACGCTGAGTGAAAGTCTTTCAATGCGCATATACTATGTAGACGCTGTTTAGTTTCGGTTACATTAGTTACTGAAAATGTCCTCGTTTTTGTCCACATCGTAAACTTTATTTATATAGCAACAAATACATCTAAATTAAATAAGTAAATAAATGGCGGTAATACCGCATATCGCGCTATTGAGCCACTCAATATTACCGCAAGGGAAATTCCATAACCGCGACAGCCCTAAGATAGAGAGGCTCGGGAGCGCGCATGCACGTCACATCCGACGGATTTCGCAGGAAATCCGACCCGGAGACCTCGCATATAAATATGAATATTGGCCTTCAGAGGTAATAGCAAAACCCGAAAAGTGGATCATTGCAATGTGTGATTACAACCCCTTCAAACACAGGCAATTAAAAAAAGGATTCATTTTATACATAAAAAAATTACATATAGGACCTTTAAAAGGAGCTTCCCAACATGTGTAATTTGTAAATGATAATGCTATTTCTTGGTTTAGAAATGGGTAAAACACAAAATGACTGAATCTTTGACCCTCTACAGACCCCGGATCCAGACCTGTCCTCAGCCAGCAGCGAGTCTTTGCCGGCACTGGAGAGAAGGAACGGTCTGTCAGGAGTAAGTCTCAGCACAGAACCCCCGTTAGAGGAAAACCTCCCCTACATTGAGCTCATGGACAAAGCTTCCTTGACTGTGTGCCCCTTTGAGGGCAACTGGACCCCAGAGATGCCCCTGTCCTCACCAGATGTGTCAAGTCCGGTGGGGAAGAGGCCCAGGCGCAGCCCCCTCACCCCGAGCAGCTCCCGCCGGAGGACTGGGGAACGCTCCGTACCCAAACGCAACATCGGCAAGAGTCCCAAACAGGCGCCCAGCGTCACAATACTGCAGCACCGTAAAGCGACCCTCTGCGTCTGCTAAAGTCAGACTGCACACACTAACACAGATGAGCGAAGATGGATGTTCAACCATCCACTTGGATATTCTGCATAGTCACAGGAATAAATAACTGCTATTGTTTTGACTGTGCCACTTTTTATTTGTAATGTATGTTTTTTTTTAAAAATAGTGTTTCATTTCCTCCTTTTCCTTTTAATGATGTGAGGGTAAAAAATTGATCCCCCTTTTAGTGTTTGTATTTAGTCATTTTATATGAAAAAAATATTCAGATCAGTCTCTAAGGAATATTCTTTTAAAGGATGTTTTTAATCTTTTACCCTTTTAAAATTAAACAGAAAATCCATCTTTTACATTTCATGAATTGCTTGTACAGATTTTCTGAAAATGACCAAATAATTGTAGACATACAATATATAATATTTTTATATTTGCTATATTTTTTTCTCCAAATAATCAATTTTCTTGCCCCACAATCCCTGTGCACATTTGGCCATGCCAATATACTTTGTGCATTAAATGTTCACACCAATGTATTTGTTATTACCCTGTCTTTCTAATTTTGAGTTACTGCATGAGTTGAAACTAAGACGCATTTCTGATCATTGGATTACAGAGCAATTGTTTTATTATTATTATTTTGATAAAACCTTTGTAAAGGGTGTGGATTGCATGTTCTGTTATAATCCTTAGAAACTGGCTTTTTCTTGGGGTGTGTTTTGTTTTTTGACTGTTGTATAATGGAATCTACATTTTCATATGTATTTCGATATTGTAAGTTATTTAATATCAATAATGTCTGTTAATGAAAAGCAGATAGCATCTTCCAACACCAGTTCCAGAGCTAATGTGAGGTGTGGTTTAAGCTGATGCTGAGGCCGAGGTGTTTGCCAGAGTGTACAACACATTTTTAGTGAGATGTTTCTCGAGGTCTTTGAGATTTTGTCTTTCGAAGGAGGTTTTCCAGTAAACTGTCAGTGGATAAGTAACATTTTCATAGAGTTGTTTATGAATGTTCACTATTTGCTAAATTGACAGTTTTGGTTTGATTATTTACTTCATGTGGTGTTGCCTGAAGGACAGTTACAGTTTGATGGATTTAAATGCATAGGGAATTTATTAAAAATGAACACATAAATCCAGTTATATTGTGGTTGCTTATTTCAAAAACATCTACAAGGGGCCTACATTATATATAAATAATGGTAATAGTTTACAATAAGGTCTAATTTGTTAACATTAATTAATTAATGCATTTGCTAACATCATCTAATAATTAGCAATATATATATATATATATATATATATATATATGCATTTATTTATCTTTGTTAACGTTAGAAAAATCAACAAACACAGCTTTGGATTTTAAAAATGTGTAAGTAAATGTTAAAATTACCATATATTAAGATAATTAAATGCTGTGGACGTATCGTTCAAAGTGGATGCCGTTTAGTTATGGGTTTAATTTTTTTTTTCTCCTTGAATTGTAATAAAGAGAGACAGTTTTGTGTTTAAGTAGGCTATCGCTATTTTTCGTGTTAGATTTCTTGAGAAGCATCGTCACATTACATGGACTTAAAGGGATAGTTCACTTTGAATTTAATTTTTGATAAGTTTTAGCTTACCTCAAGGGCATCCAAGATGTAGGTGTCTTTGTTTCCACAGTATTTTCAATTTTGACATTTTTCGGTCAAACCGGTGTTGTCTGTCAGTCATATAATGCAGGTCTATGGAGCCCACCTCAAAGAGTCAAAATTAAACATTATTTAATGACTCATAAATGTAAGTACACGTTGATGGCCTAAGACACGAAATGAGCGGTTTGTGCGAGAAAACGAACAGTTTTATATAGTTTTTACCCAACAGCCGTCAAACTGATCTGAATCAGATGTCAAACTGAACGGAACTGAACAGTCAGTCTCCAACTTGACGCCGGAAGTGATCGCGTGCGTATGTACGTCACGCATTGTTTACACAGAGATTTCGGAAGTTTTACCTTTCACTAAACATATTTAGATATATTGAAATCGTCTTCCATTGCGATTTCCCGTATATCTAAATATGTTTAGTGAAAGGTAAAACTTCCGAAATCTCAGTGTAAACAATAGGTGACGTACATACGCACGCGATCACTTCCGGCGTCATGTTGGAGACTTCAGTTGGACATCTGATTCAGATCAGTTCGATGGCTGTTAACAAGAGGTAAAAACTATATAAATACTGTTCGTTTTCTCACACAAACCGCTCGTTTTGTGTCTTAGGCCATCAACGTGCACTTACATTCACGAGTCATTAAATCAAGTTTAATTTTGACTTCTCTGTGCATGCTCTTTGAGGTGGGCTCCATAGACCTCCATTATATGACTGACAGACAACACCGGTTTGACTGAAAAATGTCAAAATGCCCTTGGGGTAAGTTAAAACATATAAAAAATTAATTTCAAAGTGAATATCCCTTTAACCAAGTCACAGTAGTCAAATAGGTAGGTAGAGAAATATTTAAAAGCAAACCCAATATGAGACCGTTGCAAATATTGTTTATTGACATTTTTCGAAGTTATTTTTAAAGTATATTTGTAAGTATATTTGTGTGTGTGCAAAAAAAAAAAGAAAAAAAAAAAGGAAAAACTGGTGGGGCGGTGATTCAATGTTCAACCGCCAGGTGGCAGTCAATACTAGCGGACAAGCCCGAAAGTCAAGTAATGTGAGCGTCCGTTCATCGCTGAATAGTTTTACTTGACATTTTCTAGAAGGCTAATCTCAGAGCATGAGTGATAGTGACACACACCTGACAGCAGCTAAACCCACACCCTCCATAATGGTGCTAAACTGACAAGGGGACACTCCTGATCTGCTGCTCCTCTTGAGTGAATAGTGTGCGCGTGAGTGTGGATGTTTAACTATTCGTGGGGAAGAACATTGTTGAAACATGTGCTGCTTGACCGGCGTTAACTAAGTTACTTTTTGGAACGTCCTCAAACATAAATAGGTCTTTATAGCATAACAAAATAATGTTTTCCTAAAAATACAGTCTTGTGAAAAGAGTAGGTTTAGAATGAGTCTGTATTAATAATAATTAGCATATTGCGTAGGCTACCCTTTGTCCATAAAGGGTTAAATGATTAATAAATAGAACACTTTTTATTTTTATCCATCTACCTATTCTCCAAACAGAAAAGTGAATTAGCATTTCGTTCACTTTTGGTGTGAAATGGAATTTACATTTGCCAAAAATAACTTTTTTTTTGTTTTGATATAGTAGCAATATGCATTATACATATATGCATTCCAATATTGCTATAGGGAGTAGCAATGTTGTAATGCATAAGCCTAAAAACACTGTAATTATTGAAGGTTACATTCCTTTGTAAGGACAACCTAGGAAAATAAAATTTTCCAAAATTTCAAAAAATATATAATTGTTATTGATGGGTTAGGATTGGTCTATATTCTATTTGTCTTTATAAAGGCTAATTGAATTGTTTAATATTTAGACTGTGACCGATTGGTTGTTTGTGTTTGGTTTTATGTATAATCGCAGAAATGGAGTTCACATTATCAGTCTGCCATGATATTATGAGGAATTACATTGAGATAAAGTGTATGAATTGTGTGTGTGTGTCAGTGCTCTTACTATTTCACTTGTCTAATGGTTATCAGATTTATATCAGCTGACCTGATGGACAATGGTGCAAAGTGAAGGGATTAACCCAGAAAGACAATCCCGCTTTGAAAAGTTCTTGTATCTGAACTCTGAAGCCAACATTACATTACAGTGCCTTGGGCCAAGAGATTGGCGTCACACCTGTCACTGCTACAATCTCTCTATGTATTAGTGCACTATACTGCTGCGCTGCTATAAGCCTTCTTATTGTGCTTGCTAAGAGCTGTTATTATCATTAGAGAGTTTAGGACACGGAGTGACAGGCTTAAAATGCCTGTTGAGAGAGCTCAACTGGTCATACAGTGTCACGAAAAATGTCTAATGGGTTGATGGCATGACACACATCTTTTCAGGATTTATTATTTTATTCAAAAACACATTCAAAATGCAATTCATGCATGCATTTACTTAAATAAACCTATCATATTTTTTTTTACATTTCTAATGTAAAATTTATTTATATATTTTTGGCAGCATAAAGTAAAAAATATAAAGAAAGTCAAAGTTTAAGTAAGCAGAACTATAATCTTTCGGGTTATAATCATACATTTTAATTGCTATTAACTTAATATTTTAGCAAGCTAATTCATTCATTTTACTTAAAATTATCATGTAATTTCAACTTTTAGTTCTGGAATATTTAGCTTTAGCTAATCCATAACTTGCTAACTGGTAACTCAATGCTTTGAAAGCATAGTATAAACTCTTAGCAGCAAAGCATAAAATCTCCCACTTAACATAATAAACCATTGTATACCACTTCATTTGAACATTTGCTCTCCCTTTCGAGTGTCATGGCAAAGCATGGTGGGAAACAGAAATCCCAACCCAGTTTCAGTTAAATTAGAGTTTGTCTAAATTAAAAGAAACAAGTTCACCAAACTCAAAACAATTAAATGATTCAGATTACTTAAAATGTGTCAGTTTTTTGAACACAAAAGCAAAAGAAGATTCCAAATACTCGGAAAGTTAATTTGATTGAATTTGTTTAATTTACCCAATTAATTAGTTTGAGCATTATGGTTAAAGTGTAGGGTTGCCTATACCCCTTTAACACTCTCTGAATAGTTAAAGTTGAACATATTTTTTTCCATTAGATCAAAATTTAAAATCTAAAAAAACAAAATAATTACAAATATCAAAGATGTACTTCGTGATTAATTCTGCAATCATTTGATCTGTTGTATTATGTCAACTAAATAAACCATACAGCAAACATCCTGAGAAAGAAAGGTTTTGTTTGATATATGACTTGCCTTTGTTCATCAAATTTGACCAATGCCATCAATATTCAAATTCATAATCACACTTACTTTTGATCGGTATTTCGGTTGCGCATAAACATTTAAATTATGCAATATGTAAAATGAATTAAAAAATGATGGTTTTGGGTGAAAAGTAGAGGGTCTAAGCTTTGTAATGATATCACATATGACTGTAAATGTTTCATCAGGACCTTCAAATATTAAAGGGCGATCATAATAGCGACCTTAATAACGCAATTCCCACCCGGTACCGAGTTTACGACCTTAACAGGTTAACACTTGTCTAGTTAAACTTTAACATATTCATATTTTGTCCATTAGATCAAAATCTAAAATCTAAAAAAGAGAACCGAAGTGGTTGAAAGTGAACAAAAGAGTCGGATTAAACTTGTGATCCAATCGACCAAAACGCATCTTCAAATCAGGTGTAAACAGGGCCTTAGACACACTTATTCTGACTCAAGTTGTTGGGCAGAGCTTGGGTAAAGTGATAATATTTTCCGATGGCAAACTAACCCAACCAGATGAATCAGCTTCAGATTTACAGCTCAAATATTTCAGAATGGAAACATCTGGTCTAACACTAATGCTTAAAATAATAGCACGTTCAGCATGACGACAGGCCATTATCTTCGCATTTTATGGTATTTTTCCCATTATGTGTGCAGTTGATGCAGACAGAGGTCTCTCTCCTGGTGTTTCCTGTCTAAGGAGGTAGGGTTTGGCTATTGGCATTTATTGAATGTGTACAGTATTGATTCAGTGTTGATACACAAGGGCACAGCGGCATGATGGAAACTTCAGCCAAGTCGATAATTGTCATTTTATCCAAGTTCAATACTTGACTAATATATTCCACCATATGGCCCAGCTGCAACCCCATTTATTTACAAACCATGCGTACACTGAAATTGTGAGAGTATCATTTATGGCTTCATTACTACAATACAGGTGGATTGTCTTATGGCTGGTTTTTCATTACATTTATGGAGCGGACTCAGCGGAGTAATAAAAAGATTTGAGGTTTTGGAAACTGATCATGAATATTAACGGGATCCTGTGCAACGGGGAAGTGTTTAATCCAGAAATCCCCAGCTCTCATTTCTTTAAAGCTATGATGGTCATTCATATTGTGATAATGCTGCAAGAGGATGAGCCAAACCACTGTGAGAATTCAGATCGTTTTGTTATACATTGTGATATATTCACACTGG